GCCAAAATAATAATAATAATAATAATAATAATAATAATAAGTCTCCAGGAATTGATGGAATACAAATTGAAATCTCTCAACAAACTGATGTGGCATTGGAGACACTCACTTAGCTATGCCAAGAAATTTGGAAGACAGCTGCCTGGCCAACTGCTTGGAAGAGATTCATATTTCTGACCATTCCAAAGAGAGGTGATCCAATGGAATTGGGAAAGCATTGAGCAACATCATTAATATCACATGCAAGTAAATTTTTGGTAAAGATCATTCAACAGGGAACTTCCAGGAACTCAAAACAGATTCAGAAGGAAATATGGAATGAGGGATATCATTGCTGGCATTAAACGGATCTTGACTGCAAGCAGAGATTACCAGAAAGATGTTCAGCTGTGCTTTATGGACTATGCAAAGACTTTAGACTGTGTGGATCATGACAAGCTATGAATAACATTATGAAGAATGGGTATTCTCAAACACTAGATTGTGCTCATGAGGAACCTGTACATAGACCAAGAAGCAGCCGTTCAAACAGACCAAGGGGATGGTGAATGCTTTAAAATCAGGAAAGGTGGGTATCGGGGCTCTATAATTATACTTATTCAATTGGTATGCTGAGAAAATAATCTGAGAAACTGGGTTACATGAAGAAGAACTCGGTGTCAGGATTAGAGGAACCTGTAATATGCAAGTGATACAACTATGCTTGCTGTGAGGGAAGAGAACTTAAAACATCTACTGATATGGATTTCACCTCAATGTAAGAAAACAAAAACCCTCACCACTGGAATAATAAACAAGATCATGATAAATGTAGAAAAGATTGAAGTTATCTAAGACACCATTTTACTTCAATCTATAACGACACTCATGGTAACAACAGTCAAGAGATCAAATGACATTGCGTTAGGAAAATCTGCTGCTCAAGACCCCTTTAAAGTGTTCAGGAGCAAAGTTTGAGGACTAAGATGCGGCTGGCACAAGCTGTGGTATTTTCGATTGCCTCATATGTATGTGAATGTTGGAGAATGAATAAGGAAGATGACAGAAGAATTGATTCATTTGAGTTATGGTGTTGGAGAAGAATATTGAAAGTATCATGGACTTGCCAGAAGAGCAAACAAATGTATTTTGGAAGAAGTACAACCAGAATGCTCCTAGGAAGCCAGGATGACAAGACTTCATCTCTCACATTTAAGTTCTGCTATCAGGAAGGACCAGTCCCTGGTGAGTGATATTATGCTTAGCAAATAGAGGGTCAGAAAAAAAGTGAGAGAGAGAAAGACACTCCCCAACAAGATGGATTGACACAGTGGCAGAAGCAGGAATGGGCTCCGATATAACAACAGTTGTGAGGACTGGGCAGTGTTTGTTTCTGTGTGCATGGAGTTGCTATGAATTGGAACCAATTCCAGAGTACCTAAAAACAACTTAGATGTCAGGATGCTGAGACTTCCTCTCTCATACTTTGGAAATACAATCAGGAACTTCCAGACCCTGGAGAAGGACATCATGTTTGGTAAAGTGATGTGTCAATGAAAAAGAGGAAGACCCCCAATGGGATGGATTGAAATAATGGTATCAGCAATGGACTCAAACGTAACAACAATTGTGAGTATGGCGTAGGACCTGGCAGCATTTTTTTGTGTTGTGCAGTGTCATTATTGGTCAGAATAGACTCATCAGCTCCTAACAACAGGAACCTAGATGGGATCAGTGACAGTGACCATAGATTCAGAAGTTGGTCCTCTTCTTTTCAGAAGTGTTGATGTTGTTGGGTACCATTAAGTAGATATGCTTACCCCACTTGAGAAAGTAGAATTGCCCCCTAGGTTTTCCTAGGGTATAATCTTTACAGAAGCAAATCGATAGGTGTTTTCCCATGCTGCAGCTGGTGACTTGGAACAGCCAACCTTTTGGTTAGCAGCTGAGCATTGTGTATCCAAGAGAAGGGATTTTATTTCATTTATTTTTCCAGACTCTGCTTTGCTGAGAGAATTTATGTCAATCATGGGATTGGGAGACAGGCTATGTCAAGTACTAATCCGAGATGATGAGATTTAGGAAGCCTCCAAGTGTCACCATTATTCTCAGAGAAGAGTTACATATTGGTGATCGCTCCAAAGAGTGGAGATCACAATCTTAGGCTATAATACCTTCAAGCACAAATTACAGATATTCTCTAGCATAGCTTCTTTTTTCTTTCAGTTTACTTTTTGTACAACTGGTGTTGGTGTTTGAAACCGCGGGTGGAAATTAAATAGAATCTAGTAGCAGTGACCATTTAGTCTGTTACCTTGGGAAACAAAATCTCTTAACTATTCTGTTCTTCTATTTGATAAATAGGTATAATACTATTACAAAATATGTTATAAACAAATGTTGATATCATTGTTTTTGTTGTTAAGTACTGTCCAGTTAGTTCTGACTCATAGTGACCCTGTATAGGGTTTCCAAGACTTTGAATTTTGGGGGGAGCAGAAAGCCTCATCTTTCTTCCATGGAGCAGCTGGTGGGCTCAAATCTCTGGCCTGTGGTTTAAAGTCCAGTGCTTATCATATAGAGCCCCCGTGCTCCCCTGTTGATGCAAAAGTATGGAACTATCAAAAGAAGAAAAAGTTCTATAAAAGTAATATTAATTTATTTATGAATAATCAATTTATGCTTTTCTATGACACTTTTTGATATCCTAATTTTTCTCTTTTACCCAGTACTGAAGGCACAGTGGATATATTAAGAGTTAATGGTTTATAAAGAGCAATCAGTAAAATATTACTCCTAATTGGCACAGAACTGCAAAGGGGACCAGTATAGCCACGTTGCCTAGTTGACTAGAATAGTAAATGAACATAAGTAATGTATGATAAGGATCCTTGGTAGCATTGTGATTACGCATTAGGATAACTGCAAAGTTGATGGTTCAAACCCACCAGCCACTCCTCAGAGAAAGATAAGTATGCCGGCTTGCACAGAGATTTTGTCTTGGAAACCCTAGACATGGTTTCTATGAGTCAGAGTAATTTGAAGGCAATGGGTAATATATACTTACCGATATAACACATGAGACTTATTATGCAGAAATTGTGATGAATACAAAATTTCACTATATTTAATAAATTGATTTGTTTCATTTTCAGAATTTAACTTTTTCATGGCCAAATTATTTTCTGCTTTCATTTGATACCATGTCTTTGTAGTAATGAAGGTATGCTGAAATGCAGGGGACATTTTTTTGAAGTAATGTGGATTTTGATGCAATTATGTGGGATACATAGATTCCCAAGTGGACTCTAGCGATAAGACTGATAGGGTGAGGCTTGTTTTCTTCAGAATCATGCAGGTATACACATCCCTACCAAGCAGTAGCCCATACTACAACTGGGATAGGGCTGAAAAGATGGATGGCCAATATATATCCCATGGATCATGATAGAGTTCAAAGACTAGACTCTTCCTTTTTGACTATTTTTTTTATTGGAAAGATAAAATCTACTAATTACTTTTATACTAGAATAATATTTCATTATTAATCCATTTAATTTTTACCTGAAATCAGTTCATTAATACTATCAGTTAAAAGCAGAAGTGTTATGTACTCCATTTCAAGAGTAGCATTTTTTCCTGTAGTGAGAATGATTGTTGGATTTTCCAATTAAAGAAGTCTCCATACTGAAAATGAGTAGTCAATTATGAAAATTATTTTTGAATTGCCAATTTACATATCCCTAATTGTATTAATTTCTTTTGAAAGACTGAACTTGGAATTTATGATATTTTGATTGGTTACCCTTGTACTTATTAATACTATTGCCAACCAGGCTCCCCTGTGAATGGGGATTTGAGTCCCTTTCCTAAATAAAGGTTTGATTCATAAGTAGGTTTGTTTTATTTAATGAACAGAGAGTATTTGAAGATTCTCTAGCAGAGCGCACATTTGGACACAGGGCACTTTACTGGATTGACAGCAGACTCCCTGAGCTTCCTTTGGTACCCACGTTTGAACTTTGACACATCAGCTGAGCTTAGACATAAGTTCCTCTATGATGGGACTGCGTGCTCTCCCAAAATGCAATTTCAGAGGGCTGCCCTCATTTTTGTTTTATCACAGAAGTGTTTGTACAATTACTTGAATATTTTATTAGATCTGCCTTTACTTTTATAAAAGAATGACTTGAGAATGGAAAATGAAAAGTTTTAATATTGATGAAGAGTTTTAAGTCTCATATGAAATAAAATTTAGGTAACAATGGGAATACTCCATTTTAAAGTACTGATTTTTATTTTCATTGGATTTAGCATTCATTAGTTTTAAAGCATATTTTAAATCAGTTGACATAGTCATGAAGGAAAAGAAAAAAGGAAAAGTCATGTATAGACATGTTTATATGCAAGGGGGCTTCAAAACGTTCATGGAAAAATTCCATTATCTTTCAGTTCCTTTTTTCCATGAACTTTCTGATGCCCTCTCATATACAATATTGATACCATAAACGTACATATATGCACACATAGATGCCCTTTGATTGACTGCAGAAGGACAGATATGATTAGGGATTTTGTAATGTACTTTAGCTAAGATAAGAATGTGCCTCAGAACATGCAAGTCTGTTGTTCAACTTTTGCATATTCAGCTTTTATTTGGGGGAACACTCTTAAAGAAATAGTGAAGTCATTTATGCATACTGGAGACAGTGATGAGGGGAAGAGGTAGCCATTTAATTCCTTTAAGATATTTTTTGTCTTTGCCAGAATTGGTTCTCTATCTCAAGAAGTAGGCAAAACAAGCGAGTAAACAAACAAACCATTAATTATTTCCTAGCCAGAGTGATTTTAGATAGTGTTATTGAAGAATGAAAAGCAGTACCATAGTAATACGAAAGTTTTCAGTTTCAACAGGCCCTTTTCTTTAAAACCACACAAAGATCACCATCATCAACTAGGCACCTTGTTTGTGTGATGTGCTTGTCCTGCAAAGTAATTAGTGTTGTTGGATTTGTTTGTAGCTGATTGCTGTGTTTGACGAACAAGAACCACTTCACAAGATTGAGAGCCCCAGTGGAAACCTGGCAGATCAGCAGAGCCCAGATGCGTTTCAGAAGGAAGTCACTGCCCAACTGGCTTCATTTAAACCCATTGGTGGGGAAATAGAAGTAACTCCTTTTGCTCTGAAGTCAGGTATGTGTAATTCTGGGCTATTGCTTCTACTTTAGGACTTTCATCCTGTTGATACATTTCTTTAAGAAAAATCTAGTTTTCTTTTTTTTCCTCTAAATTCTTGTTTTGTGTAGCTTTTTGCAGTGGCTGATCGTCTCGGGTAAGTAGATGTCCTTTTTCTTAAACTGAGGGTGAATCTCAGCTGAATGCCCTTGAAGTAACATAGGGGAGGAGCAGACTCCGTGATGGGGTTCACCTCTATCTTATGAGGATTGCATAAAAAATACCAGAAAAAAAGTTATTTGGCAAACACTAGGGGTTATAAAGGAATCTGTGTTCTGTTCTTGACCGCCTTCTTTTTCTCATCAAACTATTTGTCTCAGTGTTTGGGGAGATATTTTGAACTCCTTTTTTAAATTCTTGCCTGCTGATTTATTCTAATGAGAACAATCACCTGGTAATTTTGCTCAGATTTCTTTTTGGTTATATTTGTTTTGAAGGTGTTAATAGAGACAAATAAACATTCTTCTTAGGCTTCAGTCAATTTACAACTCCAAGAAAACTAACATGTAAGTTTTAGTGATAACTCTTAAAGATAAATGTATATCAGTCTAGCAGCATGGAGTTTTTAGAAATCCACTAGTATTTTGATACTTAAAGCAGTTTTTTATATCCTTGTTGAATGTATATACATTTTGAGACTTGCTCTAACCACCTGTTATAGGTCAATTCTCCAGCTAGAAGAACAGAAGCTCATATCACTTTTGCAGAGTGAAATCTATTCTTTTTTAAATTAAAGCATATGCTTAAAATTGTAAAGTACATAGTACTAGCTATTCCCATTTGAAATAAAATGTATTTTAAAGTGAATTTTATGCATCACAATACTTGCATATCCATATTTTGTACTAATTTTCTGAAAGGCATCTGTAGTGCCACTTCTAAAGTAAACCAAATGGAAATGAATGACCTAGTCCTCATGATTGGCCTCCATCTTTCATAAACCAAACTATCAGAGCAGTCTGCTGGAACGCGGATGTGGGAGGGCTTTGTGTCAGTTTCTCTTCATCTGGAGCAAGGTTTGTGGCTTCAGCAACCTTACAGCCCTAGCGTTCATTTGCATAATGGATGCCTTTTATCCATTATGCAAATAGTATGGGAGGAAAATTAGGCAATAAGGGAATATGAAAAGGGAAAATTGTTCTTTCTTGTTTTAATATTCTATTTATAAGCAAGTACTATGGTCTTCAAAAAATTGAACCTCAGGGTACCCTTTGCCTGGAATTTGTTTTCTCCTCTCTCTTACATTCTTTCTAAGGGGAAAAAAAAGTTAATTTTTCTTCATCTTTTTTATGATTTCTTTTGGTGGGCCAGGTACTGAGCTCAAGGTATTCAACACTCTAAATATTTTACCCATAATAACTATTTTGAGCCTCCACTCCTTGGAAACCCTATACAAGGTGGCTAGGCAAATACAACAATACTTAATTGGAGTCCTAGTGTGACGATGTAGAATCAGCACTGGATTTGAACTGCAAGGTCTGTAGGGTGGTTATGAGTTGGAACCTACTAGACAGCACTTAACAACAAGAATGCTTAGTTAGTTGTGTTCTATGGTTCTCCTCATTTAAGAAATAAAGAAACAAACAAAGAGACGTTGTGTAACTCACCCCAAATCACACAGCTCTTATGTAGCAGAAATGGAATGTAACCCTCACTAACACCAGTTTTAGCTACCATTTTGCTGTACTGCCTCTTATATGCATAACTCAAAAAATTCTTGGCACCACCTTCCTGGGGGTTATTTTGTGAATATATGTGTAAACCTTGAAAACACTAGATAAATCTCTTGCCTCAAAAATCCTGTTTTCATCTATTATCAGAAATAAAATGATGAGATTAGTCATTTGACACTTTTAGGTAGCAAAGTTTGCCTTCCAGCCTGAAACTATAGTAGCATCATCTCCAGTTCCTTCTCTTTCCTCCCACCTACTTTCTGTCAATTTTTCCTCCCCCATGTCTGCTGATACTGCAGCAGGCTGGAGCTTTATCATCAATCAGACTAGTGTGGAGGCCTCAAATTGACCTTTTCTCTACTGTGCGGGCTTTCTCCAATCCCTGCTGCTGCCGGAGCTGCCTTTCTAAATTACAAATCTGATTATATCCCTCCCCTGCTTAACAACCTCCAATGGCTCCCCATTGCCCCTAGGACTAAGTCCAAACTCATTAGCAAGTGATGCAGATGGTTCCTCTGAATAGCTGGAGGAATTTGGGCAGGCAGGAATGAAGAAAACACTTCCCTTACCCACCCACATGGTTTATCAGAGTTAGTAACTTTCATATCTGAGGTTTTAAAAGAGGAAGGAAAAAATGTTTTTAATTGGGTCACTTTGAACATGGCAGTGGTGATGAAGGTGTGCTGTGGAGTTGGTTCCTACTCAGAGTGACCCTGCATAGGGTTTCTGAGGCTGTATACCTTTACGGAAGCAGAAAGCCTCATCTTTCTTCCACAGAACAATTGGTAGTTTCAAACTGCTGACCTTGAGGTTAGCAGCCCGACTTGACTCATAAACAATACCAGAGCTCCTTTGATCTTAAATGGGGGGAGGGGGGATTAAAAATAACAACAGGACCTGCTTCAGTTTCTACACATTTTGCTCTTCTCTGGCATGGTTAGAGGCTGGGCATTTGCTATCTTAATGAATGGCTGTGGTTAGCAGGAGATGTGGTATTAACCACTGCTCTGGGAGTGTGGATGATTGTGCTGTTAGACGCATCATGGGGGGTGGGAGGTGTGGTCAGGATGTGACTTCCAGCAGTCCCTCATAATGAACAGGTGTATAAAATGCCAGATACTGCAGCCTCAGCCGCTCACCTCTGCTGCATACTCAGTTCCTATAGAACCACTGGAAAACATTCTGCTTTGCACTGGGCCCATTTCACCAGACTGATGCAGCAGAAGCAGGCTAATTCTCACTTGGTAAAGTCTTATTCACCTTTTACATGTTCAGATCCACTGAAGGAAATGGAGAAATTCATCACCATCCATTTACATGTTTAGCTTCCTGAAGGGGATAATTTGACAAATGTTAGCAATCTAAACATTTCTATGATTAAGTCATGTTGATCTCCAAACTTGTCTCTTCCACTGTCACTTGTTTTACTGATATTATGAAAATGTTCTCAATGTTCAGTATAATTTTTATATCTCTTTTTTTTTAACACACAATAACCATCAATAATATTATATTAAAACTCATTAACAGAGGCGGGGCTTGAAGGCAGATAGGGTGGAGGTGCAGTGAAGTTCGCCATCAGCAATACCACAGAATACCAGCGGGAGCGGGTTCAGAGGAGAGCTCCAAAACTCTGAAATACATAGGTAGGAATATTTTTTAAATTTGAAGGCTTATAGTTAGTGAAACTTGTAGTGGAAATAAAAAATTGTGTTTTAAAATTTTTCGGGCTCGGCAGCCCAGAGCCAAAAACGTGGATGAGACCAAATGGCAAGGCCAAGTGGGGGAGCAGGCACTCCACAGAATAATGCTGCAGGAACCTTAGAGCAAAGGTGGACAACACACCTTGTTGGTTTTCCTTTGTTCTGATTTTTGTTGTTGTTGTTGTTGTTGTTGTTATCTGTTCATTGACCCACCACTGTTTGTGCACCTCCATTCTTGTGACTAGAGGGGGTGCCTGAGAGAGTGGACACCCCCCACCCCCAACACTGGTTGGTTCTTCTGCCACACATGCATACAGACACTCTCAGCCCAAGACCTGGCCCTGAACTATTTTTAATAGAAAAAAGACCAGGGTGGTGAGGGAAAGAGAATTTAAAAAGAAAACAGGCTAAAAAGGAAATTAAATCCTGAGGTACAGCATAAAAACCAACAGTGACATCTTGAAATTTATCAGGTGGCCTTGAAGGCAAGAAGCTGAAAGAGGACATAAAAGTCATACCCATATTAGGCTATAGGTTTTTTTTTTTTCTTCTTCTCTCACTCCTCTCCCTTTTCCACAGTTATAGACTACTGGTTTTGTTGTTGTTGTTTTAGTGGGTTATTTTTGTTTTGTTTTCTTATTTTTTTGCTGTTTCTGCTTTGCTGTTTTTGTTCCACCTTTTACCTTTGGGGGACATTTTCTCTCCCTATATTACCCAAGAAGAGACAGCAACTGCTGCTATATAATCAAGATACAGCATCAAAACACAGGCAAGAACCAATACCAACTGCCATATGCCAGGGAGACAGACAACACCAGTGAAAGTTACTCTGATTTCAGTATTAAGAAAAGTGAAATGGGAAGCCCACATCCTGATCACATCAACCTGGAGGCAGTCAGAAAATAGAAAAAATACCAAAAAAGATGCTCAATTGAGTATTAAGGCCACAGATAAACATTAAACATGTCCAAGAAGCAAAAGCAGATGACCATATCAGCACATGTCCAGAAACAAGATAAAATGTCTGAGACAAATGACCTAGAGGTAGACCTGGACTCCATTCTGGAAGGAGGGCAGGCCTTGGAAATGCCTGAGAAGGAATTCAGAAAAATGATTATAAAATGTTTCAAAACATTTTACAATGGAGTTGAGAAAAATAAGGAAGAAGTCAGGAAAGCACTACAGGAACAATCAAATAAGAAAGATACAGCATTGGAAACAATTCAATACCTACAGAAAGAGGTCCAAATGATCAATAATAGAATATCAGAAATAGACAATACGCTGAAAGGGCAAAGGAGTAGAACAGAAGAAATGGAAGGCAGAACTAGTGACCTGGAAGACAAATCTCTCAATACCAATAGGATAGAAGAGCAAACAGAAAAAAGGATAAAAAAATCTAAAGAAGGTCTAAGGTTCATGTTGGACAACATGAAGAGGAATAACTTAATAATTATTGGCATTCCAATAATCACACAAGTCCAGAGAGGAAATATCTGAAGAACTACTGGAAGAAAATTTCACTAACATCCTGAAAAGTGAAAAGATAAACATTCAAGAAGCTAAACGAACCCCAGGAAGG